ATGATGATGATGATGATGATGATGATGATCGTGACGATTGCTTTTTTTTATATTATTACGTAGTAAACGTATCACTCTGATTTGAAAAGGGAAAAAAAAAAAATTTTTTTTTTGTACGTGGCATTAGATAAACGAAATAATTTTTTTTTTTATTTCATTGCTTCCGTTTCCTTTTAAAAAAAAAAAAATTTCATTCTGATGAAGGCTCATCGTGGAAGTTTCATGATTGTTTTGTTTTTTTATTAAATTTTTTTTTTTTTTTTTTTTTTTTAATGGTGACACGTAAAAAATAAATTCATTTGGGATTTCACCCGCCCCCCCCCCCGACTGCGCCTCCCCTCTCCCTTCACGTCGAACGTATTTTTTTTTTTTTTAATTATTACGGGCATTTATAGTCTCGAACGCTTTTCTCCCCACACATAATATATTTTTTATTATTATTATTTATTTATTTTACTACTACTTAAAAATGGCGTCCATTTACGACTTTTGGAGAAAATAATAATAATAATAATAATAATGATAACAGCAACAACAACAACAACAACAACATTTTCCCTCCGGGCGTCGTCGTCGTCTCTTAACGACAAAGTTTTTTCTCCCCCCCCTTTTTTCCATTTTCGAACTTTTACACCTGTTTTCCGTTATAATTTACGAAAAGTTTTAAATAGGTTCGGTGTTGGGGGAAGGGAGAGGGTTGAGGGGTAAGAGAGAGCGATGCAGAGAAATGAAACCGAGAGGCGGGGGCAGGAGGGGGGAAATGGAGGGTGGGGAGAGGGACCGAACCGAAATGAAATTGAAAATTTAAAAAAATTAAAAGAAAGAAACGAATCGCAATTGGACTCGCCATTAATGAAAGCAAAAAAAAAAAAAAAATTTTTTTTTTTTTAAAGTTTTCTGTGTATATTAAAATTTATATTTAGATTAGAAAGAGAGAGAGAGAGGAGGACGTTGATCTGAATGTTGTTTCTATTTCAATCGAAAAAAAACATTTTAGCCAGAAGTCTAGTAATTTTTTTTTTCTTTTTCTTTTACATTTATTTATTTATTTATTTATTTTTACGTGTTGAAGGGTTGTGTGTGTGTGAGAGAGAGAGAGAGGTGTGTGTTGCTGTGGTTAGGAAAAGTAAAATCTCTGTTGTCGTCTGCACTGTCTGGTTTATTATTTTAAACTTTTTCCCCCGCGCGTAGGTGGAAAATTTCGTGGAGAAAAACGTCACGCAAAAAAAAAAGAAAATTTCCAATTATTATTATTATTTTAAATGTCTTAAAAATTTTTTATTTTTCCCGGAAAATGACGAATGGCGGATGTGTGCATCCGGTCGACGAGAACAACCAAAAAAAAAAAAAAAATTTTTTTTATTTTACGCCGTCTCGTCGTCGTCGTCGTCGTCTCTTAATTTTTTTTTTTTTTGTTTACGTACGTGGAATACGTAAAAACGAATCGAATTTAATTCAAATCCAACAAGAGAGAGAGAGATAGAGAGATAGAGAGAGAGGGGGAGAGAGAGAAAGACCACATATACATACGCAGGACGTGAACAACTGGGGGGGAGGAGGTACGCGTATATATAAAAAAAAAAACGGATCATCAAATGGTACGCGAGTGGAATTTTTTTCTTTTTCAAATGTTGGCAACGCGGTGATTTGAAATTTTTCACGGATGGCAAAATAACTGTAAAGAAAACAAAAAAAAAAAAATTGTTAAATGTTGCCTTGCACATTTTTAATAAGACAAGTAGATCGACACGTTCAAATAAAAAAAAAAGGAAGAAACAAACAAACAAACAAACGGTTTGCTGTATAACGGTTTTTTCTTTCTTTTGCTGTCGTTAAAAGAAATTTTTTTTTTTTTTTTGCTTTAAGCAAAGCGTTTTTAAACAATTTTAAATAAACTTTCTTTTGCTGATGGATAAATCGACACGTAGTAGGTAGCCAGCCATGAGAAGATTGAAAATAAGAGAATAAACACGAGAGAGGAATGAAAGAATGAAAAAAATTATTTTTTAAACTTTTCATTAGTTTCCATCATCATCACCATTATCATTATTATTATCATTATTATTATTTATCGAATTCCCGGATAAATTTAACAAAGGAATCTGTTTTCTCTCTCTCTTTAAATGCAACAAAAATGAAGCGGGAAAGGGAGAGGGGCGTGTTTGATGAAAAACGTTCGAAAAACAATCGAATCTCTTTGTGACACGTTCAAGTGGCAGAAGAATATTGCGAAGAATTCGATCGGGGTGTAAAAGACGACGAGATGACGAATTCAGTCTCTCCTTCGGGGGGGGAAAAAAAAGTTAAAAATGAATTTGAGAAAGTGAGAGAGAGAAAGAAAGAGACAGAGAGAGATGGAAAGAGAGAAAGAAAGGGAAAGAGAGGGAGAAAAAGAAAGAGATGGAAAGAGAGAGAGAGAGAGAGAGAGAGAGAGAGAGAAAGAGATGGAAAGAGAGAGAGAGAGAAAGAGATGGAAAGAGAAAAAGAGAGAGAGCGATAGATGGAAAGAGAGAGAGAGAGAAAGATGGAAAGAGTGAGAGAGATGGAAAGAAAGAGAGAGAGAGAGAGAAAGATGGAAAGAGTGAGAGAGATGGAAAGAAAGAGAGAGAGAGAGAAAAAGAATTAATTTTTTGATGCCAAGTCACGGCAAACGCTGCGTTTTTTTTTTTTTTTTGTTTCTCTCCCCGATGGAGAAAAATTTTTTTTTTTACGTAAAAAGCAAAACATTCCGGTATGAAAAAAAATAATTTCCCCGCGAAACATGTTTTTTTTTTTTTTTAGAGAGATCGATTTCATTGCTTTTTAATTGTTTTGTTTTGTACATCTGGAACATTCTCCTCCTCCTCCTACTTTCTCTTCCACTTTTATTCAACCATCATCTCTTCCCGTTCTTCTATTACGTATCCGCCTATCTTCCGTCTGTTCCGTTTCTTTTTTTATTTTATTTTTCTTTTAAACAACAGATGACGACGACAAAAAAAAGGAAAGAAAAGAAATTAATTAAATTTTGAATCGATATCGATCGATCGATGATCGATAATCGATTAATCGATCGATATCCGGTGTGCCACGATTTCATCGTTTCCTTTGGTTGAAAAAAAAAAAGTCAAAATTGAATTTGACGAGTCCGAATTCTTATGACTCAATTCTATAAAAAAAAAATTTAATCAGTCATTCAGCGAGTCAGTCAGTCATTCTGTCATTCAGTCAATCAGTCATTCGAACTGAGCGTCATCACAAAATAAATAATTTTTTTTTTTTTTGGTTTGTTTCAGATTCTGATTTGATAAAAAAAGTGACGGTTAATTTGGGGAATTCCGTTAAAATAAATTGCAATTTAAATTCACGGGAATCATCATCATCATCATCATCATCATCCGTTATCAATTGGTTTAAGGATGATGTTCTCATAATCGGTGAATCCCAGCAAAAAATTAAAATTGCTAAAAATTGGTGAGTTGAGTTTCCGTTTCCTCCCCCCTCTCCCGATTGATAAATAAAAAAATACATTTTTTCGAATTTTTGATTATATTTTATTATTATTATTATTATTATTATTATTATTATTATTATTATTATTATTATTATTATTATTATTATTATTATTATTATTATTATTATTAGTATTAATTGTCTGCTTTTTTTTCAGGTTGAAAATCAAATCGGTTAAATTAACGGATTCCGGTAAATTTTCATGTCGATCAAATGGAAATTCTCAAAGTTTAATTTTAGAAGTCAAAACGAATGATGATAAAATGATGATACCGGAACCGTTGAAAATCAAAACGAAGGCGGCGGTGGAAACGGAAACGGAAACGGGAGGAGTGACGTCACCGGGGAAAAAAATGAAAAATTTATTATTGCAACGTGACGTTCCTTCTACTTCTTCTTCGGACGAAGGAATTCAAGAGGATTCGGGTTTTGTCAACGATGATGATGTTTTATCCGTTTCCGGAACGGAAATACATGCGAAATTGTACGATGCGGAAAAGAATGGGGATAAGACAAAAGGTTTGGGAAGAAAAAAGGAGAAACTTTTTTCCCTTTTTTCGAAAAAAAAAAAATTTTTTTTAAATAGTTTTTTTTTTTGTTTTTCCAGGTTCTTCTCCCATTTTTTATTTGAATCCGGAAAAGGACGAAGGAGGAGGAGGGGAAGAAAACTCGTTGAAAATCGATGCGGAAATCGGAAGTGATTTGATATTAAATTGTTCGAACGGGAAAAATATTTTTAATAATTTAACTTGGCTCGAAAATGACTTTCCTGTCGAAAACGATTTAGAGTCGAGAGAAAAAATATCAGGAGGAGATTCGTTAAAACTTAAAAATGTCATTTTGAATGATTCCGGAAATTACACTTGCATCGTTTGCGACACGAATGATGATTGCGTTAGAAAAACGTTTGTCGTTAACGTTGTTGACGGTAAGTCATAAAAAATTTTCTTTTTTGTTCGATTTCCGGGGATGTATGTGATGTGTACCTGTTTTTTTTCCCCCCAGGTAAATCAAACAAACCTTTGATTTTCAAAGAAATCCCTCAAAACGTAACGGTTTTCAAAGGGGAATCCGCCATGTTTAAATGTTCTTGTCAATCGGAAAGTTCTTGTCGCGTGTTTTGGTATCGCGGCGATAATAAAGACGAAGAGAAAAATTTTTTGGTAAGTTTTGCAACACTGTCGAGGGGGTGGGGATGGGGGTAGGGTAAAAATATTTCCGGGACGAATTGTCGAATGAGATTTTTTTCCTTTTCTTTTCCCAGGTTGAAACAAACGGAAGTGATTTCACATTGAATAACGTTAGCCGAGACGACGAAGGTTGGTACACTTGTAAAATGACGATCGGAAATGATAAAACGGGAGCGAGCGCATCTTTTAATTCTTATCTTCAAGTTGTTGACAGTAAGAAGAATATATTCTGATTGTTTTCGGTTCTCTCCCGTGGGGAGAAAGAGAGAGAAAAGAAATTTAATTTATTAAAAAAAAAAAAACGTTTCAGGTTCCGCCATGCAATCGTTGTCACTCGTACAACCCACGGATTCCGACGATTCCGATAAAGATTTGGATGTACAATCGACGGCGGGATCGTTTAAATCGACCGAATTACGAACGAAGCCAAAATTTACAAAAATGGATCAAATGCACAAGATATGCGTTAAACCCGCTGGTAACATGGTTAAATTAAAATGTCCGGCCGAGGGTAATCCAAATCCGAACATAACGTGGACGAAAGATGGTTTGCCACCCACGAGACACTTGGGCACGATTCGTTATTTCCGCTGGTCGATTGTTCTCGAAGATTTAGTTACGGACGATGCCGGAAATTACACGTGCACGGTATGCAACACGGAAGGTTGCATTGATTTTACGTTTAAAGTCGACGTGATGGGTAAGCACGATTTGTTTTGTTTTTTGTTTTTTTTATTCCCTTTTATCATATATATATATATATACAAACACTTTTCGAATCGATCGATAAACAAACGATTTCGATATGAATGATGATGATGATGATGATGACGTTCGTTGAACGACATTTTAATATTTTGTGAAAGAAGAAATTGTATTTTTATTTTTTTTTCTCTTTCTCTCTCTCTCGTTGGGGGTTTCTGAACGCAGAACGATTTCCACACAGACCCTACATAAAAGAAGGATATCCGAAAAATCAAACGGTTCTCGTTAATTCTGATGCCACTTTCGAATGCGAAGTGTATTCAGATGTTGAACCTTTTGTTCAATGGTTACGATTGTATTCAATACCGTCCGGCTCCGATGAAATACCCAATGGCACTGTTATTCAGGTATTTGATAATACATAAACGCAAAAGAAAACAAAACGATTTTTTTTTTTTTTTTTGGGAAGTTGGTTACCCTGTCTTTACAAAAACTACTTTTTTTTTGGTTGCGGGTTAATATCGCAGTATATACACACGTACGCATTTTCTTTAAATAATTTTCTTTTTTTTCTCAAGTTGGTCACATTGGTTATGGGTCATTGGTGTTGGGTTTGAAGAATTTTTTTATTATTATTATTTTTGTTTGTATTATTTGTCAACGTTTGAAAAATAATTTTTTTCCCTCCCCCTCCTCCTCCTCCTCCCGTTTCGTTTCCGTTTTCTTCTCCTTCTTCTTCTTCTTCTCATTTATAAGAGGAAAAAAAAAAAAAACTCATGTTAATGGATGTGAGATTCTGTTTCATGTAAAAAAAATAAAAAAAAGCTTTTCGATATTTTTGGAATCGAATCAAAAAAAAAAAAAAAAAAAAAACGAAAACAAAAACAAAATTGTTTTGTCGTGGGCTAAAATCAATCAAGGCCAAAATTTTTAATTTAAAAAAATCGAACGGAAATTTTCTGTCGGTTCAATTGAAATGAAAAATTTCCTAATTAAAAATCTCACAGTTTCCGTTTTACTCGATTCCTTTTTTGCCCCCGCCCCTCCCTCCGCCTCCTCCTACGCACTCGTGTCCCGGCGGCCATATTGAATCGATCGATCGATTAAAAATTATTCGCGTGTACGCGTGAGAAGTGCACTCACGCACACGCACACGCCACACGCGTACCACACTAACGAAATTAAAGAAAAAGTTGATAAATTTTTAGAAGTCGTACATCATCGTCCTATATTGACCGAAGCACCGCAAAATAGGACCGCCATTTTAGGGGAAAATGCAACGTTTAGATGTTCGATACTTTCCCATCTTCATCATCACATGGTTTGGGTATCTAAAAAAGTCGACGAAGTTGACAATATGGAAGAAATAAATAATAACACGGTGAAGGTATACACACGCTCATAATCATGTCCTTTGGGTTGCTTGCCTGCCTGCCTGCCTGCCTGCCTGCCTGCCTGCTTGCTTGCTTGCATGCCTAAAAAAAAAAGCCTCTTCGCTTCTTTCGTCGTCGTCGTCGTCGACTACGGAACTTTCGAGAACAGGTAAGACTGAAAGACAAAAAAAAAGAGGTTCGACGACAACGAACGACAGGATAAAAAAAAGAATGAATGAGAAAGGAAGCGAAGGAGGGCGAAAATGAAAAAGATTTTTTTTTTTTTAAATTGTGTAAGGTTGGCACGCATGAAAACGCGGTAATTTAGTTGGCATCACTATTTTCAAAACCTTTTAACTGTTCTTTTTCCGGTAACTTACAAAAAAAAAATTAATAATAATAATAATAATCTTTCTTTTCTTTGAAATTTTTGCGGGCTTTGCTGGGAATTAATTGTTTGATTTAATTAACACTCGCGTAAGTTTTTTAAGTTGGCAACATTTCTTTTTTTTTTTTTTTTTGAATATGCATTGTAGCGATTGATTAAAAAAAAAAAAATTAATAATGATAATAATAATAATTTCAGACTGCCGCCGACAACATGAACGCGGACATTCTCGAAATTTACAACGTGACACACGAAGACGAAGGTTGGTACACCTGCATCGCGGGTAATAGTTTGGGAATGACGTTTGCAAGCGCTTATCTGAGAGTCGTTGATCGTGAGTTTTATTTAGTTTTTTTTTTTTTTTAAACGTTTTTTCATCGAATAATGTTTGATTTCATCATTATTATCATTGTTCGTTTTTTTTTTTTTTTTCAGAAGAAGAAATAAAGGAAGAACATTTGAAAGCGCGAATGACTTTTTCGAATTACGCCGTCATAGCCGTGAGCGTGGGTTTGATGATGATATTCGTCGTGTCGTTTTTCCTTTACTTTTTGAAAATAAAAAGAACGAACAAGCAGAAGATAGCAGAAGCCGCTCTCATGATGAATAAGAAAATAATAGTCGTGGAAAAACAATGTTTGGCCAACGAGGAGTCCAACGCGACGGAACCCCTCATGATGCCCGTCGTGAAAATAGAAAAGCAAAAATTATCAAATTGCAAAACGGGAAACGGAAGCATATTGGGAGTGTCACCGGGAGAACTCATAACGCAATACGAACTTCCGTTGGATGCCGTTTGGGAATTTCCAAGGCATCAACTAGTCATGGGAAAAGTTTTGGGAGAGGGAGCTTTCGGAAAAGTTGTCAAAGCGGAAGCGAAAGGAATCGTCAAACAGGGCGTCACTTCCGTCGTAGCCGTTAAAATGTTAAAGGGTGAGTTTTTTCGAAAAAAAAAAAAAAAAAAACGTTTTATTATCATTATTATTATTATTATTATTATCATCATCATCGTGACGGTTATTTTTCAGATGGTCACACGGATGCGGAAATGATGGATTTGGTTTCGGAAATGGAACTCATGAAAATGATCGGAAAACACATAAACATAATTAATTTATTAGGATGCTGCACGCAAGACGGTCCGCTCTACGTCATCGTGGAATACGCACCCAACGGGAATTTGAGAGAATACCTGAGACAGCACAGGCCGTGTTCGGGATACGAACCTGGAATCGGTACGGGATTAAAGGAAAGGAAAACGTTAACGCAAAAAGATTTGGTATCGTTTGCGTATCAAGTCGCGAGAGGAATGGAATATTTAGCTTCTAGAAAGGTGACACATCCACCGACCTTCCCCCTCTACCTACCCCCCCCACCCACCTAAGGACACACCTTAATTTATTTCTTTCTTGTTTTTTTTCCAGTGCATACACAGAGATTTAGCAGCTCGTAACGTATTAGTCAGCGATAACAACATATTGAAAATAGCAGATTTCGGTTTGGCACGTGACGTACACTGTCATTATTATTATCGTAAAACGACGGACGGACGTCTTCCGGTCAAGTGGATGGCACCGGAAGCTTTGTTCGATAGGGTTTACACGTCACAGAGCGACGTTTGGTCGTACGGAGTTTTACTATGGGAAATAATGACGCTCGGGGGTACGCCCTACCCCTCGGTTCCGAGAGTCGAAAAACTCTTCCAACTGTTACGTAGCGGACACAGAATGGAAAAACCTCCGTGTTGCTCTTTAGAAATATACATGCTAATGAGAGAGTGTTGGAGCTATCAACCCGTCGCGAGGCCGACATTTTGGGAATTGGTTCAAAGTTTGGATACCGTATTGGCGCAAACGGCAAACGAGGTAATGCATAAAAAAAGGGGGGGGAAAAAGGAAAACAAGATGGACGAAAGGTGTTCAATCAATCGTTATTATTAATATCTCTTTCTCTCTCACACTCTCACTCTCACTCACTCTCTCTCTCTCTCTTTTCAGGAATATTTAGATCTCGGTTTGCCTCAAGTCGAAACTCCACAATCGAGTCCCGGAAATAGTGATGATGACGAAAGCAGTTTTCTATCACCGGCTCCTTTATTTTAATTTAATTTTTTTTTTACGATGATGATGATGATGATGATGATGCGTTAAGAGTACAAAAAAATTTTTTGTAAATAGTTTTTTTTAGAAGGAAGAGATTAAGAGAGAAAACTTTTCTTTTTGTTTATTATTAAATGTTATTTGTAAATAATTAACGAATGCAATAACCGGGTAATAAAGGAAGAAGAAGAAGAAGAAGACTTTGAAATCAAGGGAAAAGCTTGAAAGAAAGAGATGGAGAGAACATGGCGAACATGACAAAATGGAGTCAAATATGGCGAATGACGGATGTGTGACATCAGTCGGAAGCGCATGTACGAAACAATCATTCTTATTATTATTATTATTATTATTTTTTATATTTTTTTTCTCGTTTGTCCAAAGATTAATTGCAAGACTGTGTTGTTGATAAATATATACATATATATATATATAATAATAGAAATATTTGTTAAGTTGATTGACTGTTAATGCGGGGGTGGGGGGAGAGGGGAGAGGTTGGAAGGAATTTTTTTCTTTTGTGGTTTTTTTTGAAAGAATAGATAGGGGAGGGGGGGAGGGAAAATGAAACCGGTCGTGTATGATAATAATAATAATAATAAATAAAATAAAATGAATTATTTTGAATGTTTATATATATATATATATATGGATATAACATAATAATTGTCATAAGTAAATTATTATTATTATTATTATTTTGTTTTCAATTCCTTTGTTGAATTATTTTTTTTTATATTAACAAAGGAAATTATTATTATTATTATTTTGTGTATATTATATTTGTATTTAATTTCACATTAGTTTTATATTATTTCTATCCTTATTTATTTATTTATTTTTTTTTTGTTAGACCTGAAGAAATGAATTTTGCACTAACCTCCCCACCCACAGGGAGCGGGAAGAGTGTGGGACTCGGCTGAAGCCACCACCCAACTAAATTTCCTGGATGTGCTCACGCCCCATCCATTCAGGTAACCGCGAATCCAGCACCCGGAGGATTTCCCCCCCGTAAAGTTTCCGGCCGTCCTCGAGCCGCATCCACCAAGTCTGGAAGACTTTTTCCCGTACAACTTTACGAAGCTCGTTCCTCCTCAATCCTCCCCCCACGCGATAGAGTCTTTCCAACGTAAGAAGATTTAGGGAAGGAGTCCTCGACAGACTGCAAGAATCATCCGCGGCAACGTCCCTATAGGCCATTACCATTCTATTCACGCCCGTTAAAGCTGAATTGCCCTCTTCCTGAGAAATATAGACCCCGAAACGGCTTCGGCCCACACCGGAGCGCCATACATAGGAGTGGATCATCTTTACATAGAGTTTCCTAGCATATACCCGGGGTTTGGGCATTAATCTTCCCAAGGACGCGCTGGTCGCCCGGAGTTTAGAGTCGGGAGCAGCCAGGTGTTGCGCGAAAGAGAGTCTAAGGTCACCCCTAGGTATTTCAAGACTCCCCCCACCCTTATCTCGTTTTCCTTCAGCCTTAAAGCCAGATTCCGCGGAAGCGGGTTCCACGAGACTTTCGTTTTCGGTAAGCCTACCCACAGACCGATGCCACGGAAGGCCTCTACCGTGGCACCCAAACCTAATTCGGCCAATTATGGGTCTGCAACAATAATATAGTAATATATGTATTTATTCTCTCAAATATATTATTTAAAAAAAAAATAAAATTTGTTTTTTTTTTTTTTTCCCACCATGCATGTTTGGTTATATCATTCATTTATTCCCATAAAAGAAAAACTTAAAAGAACAGAATTTTTATACAAATTGGGTTATGCAACTGGCAATACGCGAAACCCGACAAATTGCATAACTCAAAAAAGTAAGGCGAACAGAAAAAATCGAAAAAATTCAAAAATCCTTAAAAATTGTGGTTATGCAACTGGCAATACGCGAAAACACGACAAATTGCATAATTCAAAAAAGTAAGGCGGACGAAAAAAAATCAAGAAAAATGAGTGAAAAATTGGTTCCGAGTATCAGTAAAACATAATATTTAGGAGGTCTCAATTTTTCGATAGTTTCGTTTCGCTTCAACGCCTTGCATTTAGAGTATATGCAATTTTCAATACAATTTTTAACCAATGGCGTGCTTTGTATACATAATGAGAAATTAATGGCGCTCGCCATTCTTACTCGTGATTGGTCAGAAAAAAAATCCCATATTTTTCATGTTTAACTTATGTATTAAAAGGAATAAAATTTAAATAATAAAATAACTATACTTTAAAGCAAAATTATTTTTTGTAAATATTTAATAAGAGTAAGAATATATATTGTTGTGATCACTTGAACAAATGTTCATAATTTTATTTTATTTATAAATAATAACATTAGAACTATGG